TGAATGTGCGAGAAAAATTTGATGAAAATCTGCCCGGGATGCGGACCTATAAGCACTACACGTGACTTGCTGTCATGGTGACTTCCTAAAAAGGAGACGTGCTTTGGGGTCCGTACGTCACGACACAGTCGGGTTCGTTGTGAGTTTATAAACGACGAAGAACGTGTATTTTCGATTAACAATATTGTGTTGTGATCTCATCCTAGTAACAGGTCGGCGGCTTTGTCTTCTGGACTATGGGAAATCGTGATTGAGGAGGCGTTATTTTGTGTTATCGCCATGGTTGGTTCGAGAAGAAAGGGTAAAGAACTTGTGTTTGAATGTACTGTAACTCAAAATGGCGTGAGATTTGTGTTTGCATCGATCGTGCCGTTAGATTATGATGTAAAAGAGTAAGCGAACGCTCCGTTAATGATAGTGTTGATATCTCTGAAAACAGTTAATGTTTTTGGTTTTGTTCTAGGGCAAACGTTTGCTGCCTTCGAGTAAACTTCTTATCTCAATCTGTGACTTCGTCTGCTGATCGATTGATGCTACGGCAACGAGAAATCGACAAAACCTGGTAGAGAATTAGACGGCGGACATTTTTTTTTTTTTGCAAATGGATAAGTTTGAAAGACTTCAGAAAATCGGCGAAGGATCGTATGGCGTGGTGTTCAAATGCAGAAATAAAGAAAATGGATCTATCGTTGCGATTAAGAAGTTCGTGGAATCCGAGGACGATCCTTTGATAAAGAAAATTGCCTTGAGAGAAGTTCGTATGCTCAAGGTTTGTGGTTCAGTGTGTTAATCGAGTCTTCCTATATTACAGATGTACACATATTAGTGTCTCAAATTTCTTTAATAATGTATAGCTTAAATGGTTTGATTGTAGAAATCTCTTGGTACCTGTACATGTCTGTAGATATTTTGCAATCGCCGGTGTATCAGGAACATTTAATCTGTAGCAAAGCAGGAATGTTAATCTAATCGAAAATCATAGAAAAGTGGAGCTTAAAAATTAAGCTTTATAAATATGTTAACTCACTATAAAGTACCTAGATTTCCGAGAGATCTGAAGAGTCTTCATTGTTTACTGCTTTCGTTTTCAAGTGACCGTTTCTGTGTAAGTTTTACCTGTATTAATTTTGTCTAGAATTTGTAACGTAGAGGGACATCTTCACTGGAATCATGTAACATGTGTGTGCTTGCAAGGTTAAACTGCTGCTCAAAGATAATTCTGCAAAATTTGCACTTGTATTGTTATCAGTGACTTGCAGTCCACAACTCTGGATTTTTTGTTGCTTGTACATGGAAGAAAGCAAATTATTGTGATGGGATGGCAGAGTTGTTTCAATATAATTTTTCACCAGAATACAAATATGGTGGTATCCCGATATTTCAAATCCTTGAGTTTTTGAACCTCCCGATCACTCAAGAGATTTTCGTTTCCCTTGCAAAAACATTAAGGGAAATTTAGCTTCAGTTTTTTTCAAACCAACTTCCACTCCCGTAGGAGGTTTGAAAAATCAGGATAAACTTTCAAAAAACTTTTCACTAAATGTGTTGTACTAGACAGAGTAATTTTCAATTGAGTGCCACTGAACCAAAACCAAAGTTATCACTCTGGCCAATCACAAAAGACACAGACAATACCGGGAAGCAATCAAAACTTGAACTACCGGTATGTGTAAATGCATGTACCTGAGGTGAAGCACAGGAAGATGTGTGAGCAAGTCATGATTGGTTTTGGGTTTACATGTACTTCTGATTGGGTGAAAGAGTGAGCAGTTTTTTTAAGCCAGTTGTGTAGTATAGAAATGCAAAACCAATTACTTTGACAGTCAAATGAAGACTGCTCTATGACAATCTGTTTGGTTCCATGGGCCTTCTTCGATTCCATGGCCAGGACTTGACAACTGATTCATGCTTTAGCTCTCATGCTATCGCGCAAATGGGATATTTGGAAAGCACAGAACAAAGCACATAAGAGTTGCTTGAGTTATGGTGGAGTGCAACTCTACTGTAGCTTCTTGAGTTTTCTCCAAAGTTCCCATCAGTGCATCGTGACTTTGCGATGCACAGCTAAAGCATGAGTTGATTGTTTAATTATATTGCCAATGAAAATGGTTTTCTCTCATGAAGCAAAGTTAACTTTGCGCACACCATGAGTGTGTGTCAGTGAATTATGATGCACGCCTAGGGCAACTGAATTTGATAGCATGGCTTTGTTACATTAGCTGCATTGTACATAGAGTGTTTTTGTTTGTTATGATCCGGGTCAGGATCAGGGATGCAACGTGACAGTTGTACCATCATCCTCAGCTCGTAATCTTGGCGTTATTTTTGATAAGTGTTTTAACTTTGAGGAACATGTAAAATCAATTTGCAAGTCTTCTCATTATCACTTAAGAAATATCGCCAAAATCAGAAAGTGCATTGACGAGGAGAGTGCTAGAATTGTTGTTCATGCCTTTGTTACCGCAAAATTAGATAGCTGCAATTCACTGCTATATGGTCTTCCAAAACATCTACTTTCAAGATTACAATCTATTCAAAATACAGCAGCTCGAGTTGTTACACGTACTAGGAATTTGATCATATCACCCCTGTCCTAAAACAGCTCCACTGGTTACCTGTTTGCTACCGTATAATTTTAAAATTCTCCTACTGGTCTGCAAAGCTCTCAATGGAACAGCACCTTACTACATCAGTGAAATTACTTAAGTACAATACCTCTCAACGGAAATTAAGATTGTCCTCTCAAGACCTTCTGGCGACCCCGAAAGCTAGACTGAAAACATATGGAGAGAGAGCATTTGCTGTGGCGGCACTGAGACTATGGAACTCGATCCCACTTGAACTAAGATCCAGTAGTTCGATTGACATTTTTAAACGGCATTTAAAAACATATCTTTATAAACAAGCTTTTTAACTCTTTTAATTTTTAGATTATTTTTTTTATTTTTTTTTCCCCTCCCCTTTTTTAGCTTTTAAATATTTTTTTATTTAATGTAAAGCACTATGGACAAATAGTGGATTGGCGCTATATAAATATTTTATTATTATTATTATTAGTAGTAGTAGTAGTATTATTATGGTACATCAAAGGAACTGATAAATCATACTGGGATTCATTGGCTCCTTTGACGCATCATGAGCCGAGTGATCTGGGATCACTGATCCTGTATCAGATCATCATGAAGGAACGCACCCTATATTACAATGAATTTTGATAAACTCACAATATGATTGGCTTTGTGGGACTGCCGCCTTCTGAACAATAGTCAACCCTGGAAGTGGATTGTGAAATTTGCCATTTTACCAAAAGCATATGAAACAATACTGTTAACATATTGTGGACCAACAGTTGGGTTTTATATACCTACATGCTAAACTGATGACCCAGTTGAACATCGTGACCAGATAAGATGCCTGTTGTTCTGTAGAGACAGGTAAGGATAGCTTGAAAATGTATGATAACATTTTCCTTTTTCATGTCTGTACAGACTCTCAGACACAATAACCTTGTCAACCTGTTAGAAGTGTTCAGAAGAAAGCACAAGATTCACATGGTGTTTGAATACTGTGAGCGTACAGTGTTAAATGAGCTTGAAGCCAGTCCAAGAGGGTATGTACTGTACCTGTTACTGGAATAGCTGTGATTCACATGGGTATCCTTTAGGTGGAAAGCGTAGGAGTACAGAATTCAACTGGAACACCAAAATGTTTGGCCTTTCAGTCAGACCTTTCCAGGGCGTGGTTACAAGTACTTCCTACCCCCTGGTCAAGGGCAATTGCATGTACATGTACGAGTGCAATCTGGCTTATGTTTTGTTCTTACCTCCAAACATGGAAGCCTGATTCGTTCTCATATACGTGTACAGATCTTGTACATGTCTGGCTACTAACATAAAGGTTGCTACCTGTATTTCCAGTTGCATAGAATCTTGGTTGTTGTTGTTGTTGTTTTTGTTTTAAATTTGATCATTCTTTTCGTTATCTCTCAGTGTTGATCCAGCATTGGTCAAGAAAATCACCCATCAGACACTGCAGGCAGTCAACTTCTGTCATCAACATAATGTACGTTACAATCTGGTGATCAAATTATGTTTTGTTTATACATTGAAATAACTACATGTACATTATCATTTACAAGCACAAGTCTATGAAAAAAGACAAACATTTTTAACTTAGAGTGTATGTGTAATATGACTGAGAAAATTACTCCATTCTCAATGGCTGAGAAAAGTCTTAAACTTGCACAGCTGTGCAAATAAATAACACTTGCCTAAAGGCTCATGTAAGAGTTGAGAGAATTTCCAAATATCACTGTGTAGTGTACATGTAAATTCTTCATTGCACTCACATTCATACAATCACCTAAATTGTACACTTATCCAACAATTTCATATCATTTTTAACTGTGCTTGCAGTGTATCCACAGAGATGTGAAACCAGAGAACATCCTGATTACTGAAAAGGGAGTTATAAAGCTGTGTGACTTTGGATTTGCCAGAATGCTTAGTAAGTACTGTACATGCAGTTTGTTATTGGGAGGAATTTTGAATTTCAAAAAATAATGTTCGGGGTTTATATTTGGAAAGGATTTTGTGTCTGAAAAATTTCAGATGCACATTGGAGTGCTACATGTACGTTTTGAAGTCTAATTTAAAGTCTAATTTCTAATTATTACTGTAGTGATGTGAAACACAAACAGGTTTTACTGACATTAATGGGATTCTCTGAGCATGTTAAGAAGTCAACATAAAATATCAGTCATGCTCTCCAACAGGCGGCTTATGATGGAAGAAGCAAATATCTTGCTTCTTTGTGAGAGAGTTAAAACTGGTAAATATTAATAAGCCTCTGGGATTATCCTCAGAAGAGCTTTTATTAAGCGGATTTTTGTGTCTGAGAATCAAGGGGCTTATAACATGGGAGGTAGCATTATCTTTATTTTATAACTTTATGATCAAGATTTGTTTGTTTTATTTGTTGTTTTTTAATGTATCAGGATGCTACTCTCAAGGTCACAAAGTACATGTAATGAGATTATAAAGTACAATTGTTTCTGTGGGGGGAGGGAGGGAGGGAGGTTAACACATACACTGTTGTAGTCTTGAGGGGAGATGGGTGACATTCCCCCTTCACCTACCCCTATAAGTATACATGTATATGCATGTACAGAGAGCAGTGTTACCTTTGTACTGTTGTACATTTTGATATCATATAATTTATATTACTGTTACCTCTGAAATATTTCCTCTCAGATAAAAATGACGAGTACACAGATTATGTTGCTACTCGTTGGTACCGTGCTCCAGAGCTTCTTGTTGGCGACGTCCATTACAGCTTCCCAGTTGATGTCTGGGCTATCGGCTGCGTGTTTGCAGAGCTCATAAGTGGCCAGCCCCTGTGGCCTGGGAGATCTGATCTTGATCAGTTGTATTTGATCAGAAAGACTTTAGGTATTGTTCTCAAACATATGAATAATCCATCAAGTTTAAAAACAAAGGAAGTCAATACTGTGATTTTGTTTGGATGTCTGATCTTAATTAGCATAGATTTTACGATTAATTTCTCTGTTTTTCCCTTGTTTAAATTCGATTGAGAAGATATATCAAACATGAAAGACCACGTTTGACCACATTTCTGAACACCTCAAAGTTCATCAAAAATTTTCCACTGTGTATCTTATTCTCAACCCTTTTCTTGGTGTTTGGAAATGTGATCAAACACAGTCTCTTGCATGTTTCTTATAGTGCTTACATCATAAGTATTTTAGTAACCTCAGTATGTGACAGTAAGGGTCCACTCTTTGATTTATCCTGTCTGGAGTGTTTTGCAGAGTATCTAATGAGCATGTGTTTTTTTCAGGTGATCTCACTGAAGATCAAAAGAAGATCTTCAAGGCAAATCAGTTCTATCGTGGATTAACTATTCCGGAACCTCAGGAAATGGTAAGTCAAGCGCATGTCGAGTCCCTCTTAATACTCTTCCCTAACAACCCTATTGAGTTTCAGGCAGAACAGTTCCTGTAGTAGAAGGGACTACAGATGCACAAGTCGACATCTGGACAAAAAAAAAAAAATCAACTTTTCAACGAGACTTTTTTTTTTGAAAACTGTATCTAAAACGTACAGTGCAGTGGTTTAAATGATGGAGTTCTAGCTGTACTTTGTGATCTATGGACAAAGTCCCATACTTTTCGTGCTACATCCTCGTACGTGTAGTTTATCAACTGATCGAATTCTAGTAGTCTTAAAATTACGTTTTGGTTTTTGCATTTTTCAGGATCCTTTAGAGTCAAAATTCAAGATTCAAAAAGAAGCTATGAGTTTTATGAAGGTGCGTAGAAGGAAAAGGATATGTTTAAATGCCAAGGGACAAACAACGGGCTACAAGGGCCTTGATTGTCACGCAGGACAATTTGACGGGAAGGTTTCTCAACGGCTGTGGGAAAAACTTTTCAAGAACGACATTACAGTTTTATTTTACACTGTACATGATATATGAATTAGTGAGTTATAATTAATCCAGCGATCTAGGATGAAAATGACGACAACAAAAACGTGGGTAAACAAAACTTTTGACTCGTGCAAAGGTTCTGCATGTGCGTTATAATTCTTGGTACATTTCTTAGCCGTCCTGTGGAAAACAACAACGGGAAATGATCAAACTCCGCAAATGTTCCGTGTTTAATGCATTCAGTTTCAGCTTAAAATATTTCTTAGATCAGACGACGAAGTAAACGTAAGTTATATTTTCTTAATCGCGACATAATGCCATGAAACGTAAGTTTACTTCTTAAAAATGGCCGTGATTTCTGTTGTTAAGTTCCTTTGTCTCGCAACCCAGACGCAAAAAAAGAAAATCGTATGTAGTATAACAACGTGATATTCTTGTTAACGTTGCGGTTTCAGTTTCCTTTCACCTCGTCGCCAAATTTATTAGGACTTTCATGAGGTTTAATATTTACACTATTTGCTACATAGTACGGAAGGAATACTTCAATCGTTGTTTAACACTTACCATCATCTGTGCCTCCCCGAATGAAGAATGCTGCAATTCGTTGTTAAATATCGCTGTTTTGTCCTGTTGTTCAATAACATGAAAGCCTCTCGAGTTGTCTCTGGAAAAGCAGGACTGCTGTTTTGCAGGTATCATTGTTTAAGGAGACAATTTGGTGTCACGCTTTATTAAAATGGCGCGCAGCTCAGGGAAGCCAGTTTGGTGCACTTTTTGCAGTTTTGATTAGGCGCTCTCGGTTTTCTTTCTTCTGATTGGTTGTATTTTCACGTGCTGGAAATGAAGTTCATTTCGAAACTCGGAGGTCTCTGCGTTTAGAACTCAGTCTCCGTCTTCATTACGCCGGAGAAATTTGAAAACGCAGGTTTCACTCTGAAAACGCATCAAATATTTTCCGTCCACACTACGCCGGAGGAATTTAAAAACGCAACAATCATCGGTCATATTTGATTTGTGTTTGAGTAAAACTCGGTTAGGGAAATCACATGGTTGTCGTGACGCCACCTTTTTCGAAAAGCTCCGTTTTCAAAACGTTTTCCGTCCAGACGAAAACGAAAAGCCGACGTTTCCAAATTCCTCCAGTTTAAAGAGCGTTTTTTCGAGACGGATTAGTGTGGACGGTACGTCTAACCGTAGAAATAAAGCTGCGTTTTCAAATTTCTCCGCGTAGTGTGAACGCTGCTTCATATAAGGCCCTAAAGAGGGACTTTTCTTTCTGCTCAAGCGAAAGGCCTTAAAAATAAATAATAAAATTATGTTTGCTACTTATTGCAGGGTTGTTTTGCTATGGAACCCAGTCAGCGGCTAACTTGCGCAGAGCTCTTGACGCATGCGTATTTTGATGATTACAAAGATGATACGAGAGCGCCTCCAGCCGTGAAGACGAGAAAAACTAGGGTAAGTCGGATATAATTGTTCTGAAAATACGAAAATGCCACCTTGGTATTTCGCATGTAATGTGGTGGGTTGTGTCGGAGAACTACCTACGAATCGACTTTCGTGTAACGTTTAAGAATGCCTGTCTTCTCTCCCGTTTAGCTCCGAGCCAAGCCTCAATTGGAGAACGAACCAGCTTCGCATCATTTACCTCAACTTGCTACTGACTCTCCTGCGCCTGACAGAACAGGTAAGTGACCAACTTGTATCTTCTCCTTACAATACACCTTATTCCAAAATGGCCGCGATTTTAGCGTTCTTTTGTTTGCCCTCAAATTACCCCCTGTTGCCTCTTTCTTAATCTCGAAATTCAAAAGAATATTTTCCCTTGAACGAGGCAACAAGGGCTAATTTGCAAGCAAACTAAAAAACACTAAAATGGCGGCCATTTTGGAATAAGGTGTATATTAGTGAATTTTCTTTGAGACAGGTCAGTGATAAGAATGAAGAAAATAGTCAAACAGGGGATATTTTCTTGATTCACTAACGTAACAAAAAGTTACAGTGCGTTTTCTGTTATATACACTGTATATGTCTGCAATCAATCTTTTTAGCCATCTGAATCAAACACTGGACCAACCGTTATTTGGCTCTCGCGTGTTTTACCGCGTTTTTCACAAGTTTCCCGCGCATTTAGCCGGTTGCATGTTTTCTTGCGCTTGTCATTGGTTACATTTTTCTCACGTTTGCCATTGCTGACATGTCTTCCCGCGCTTTCCACTGGTACATGCTTTCCCGCTTGTCGTACTTGTTTTAGCTTCGACTTCCGATTGGCGGATGAAATCTTCTACGCCATATTGTTGGCTGCTGTTGATCGCGAGTAATGATTATTTTCTGTTGTTTTCAGACAAAAACAAAGATAAGACGAAACTCAGCAAGCTGGACCACCTACCGTCCATTTAATCAACGAAAACTTTTAATATTGTTATAATATTATAGTATTGTATTCATAATGTAGATAAATTAAATGCATGATGTTGGGAAGATTTTTTTGTGCCATACATGTACACACACTGCTGGCATGGGGTTTCATAAAAAATGGTGAAGTCAGTGGTACTTTCAGGTAACTTTAATGTAGAGGGTATAAATAAACATTCTTGAATTTTAGAATGTGCGATTAACTATATAATTTAAGAATTTTATGCCGTGACTTTTTGCTGTATTTATATATATCTTGGAGTAAAAAACAACTTGTTCCTTATTAAATTATTAGTATTTGTAAACTCTGAAGTCCATAAGGGTGTATGATATAAAAACTCTTAAGGTAGACATTGAAATGTAACTAAATGTACGTAAATTATTCCGAGAAAGATCATTTTAGGTAAGACTTCCAAATTAATAATATAACTTATAAACGAGAATTACAGTTAAAATTCTGTTTTCGATCTACAAGAAGCTTCGCTTCTGTAGTTAGGTAACTTTCTCGTAGAGTTTGTGTGCTTAACTGTTTCTCTGTTGCGATCGGTATTGCTCGTTGTTGAATGGATATTTCATTGCATGTTTTCTTGTATGCCAAAAGAGTGATATGGCAGCTTTGAACAGAGGGCAGTTGTTGTAATATGGAAAATGTTCAAATTAAAAGAAAAAATAGACCGCATTTATCATAATCTCTTGGTCTGTTATATGGTACAGCTACCAACCGTTACATTTGACAACACAGAACAAAAAAGAACAGGCTGTGGTTAACGGTGCTGGTTATAGTCCTACGCAATTCTCTTGTCCAATGTTACCTATTAACCGAGAGTGAGGTCTTTACAGAAAAAACTCAAACCGAACCCCTTGCTGTATTGACCGAGCGATAAGGAGGTTCATACGGCAAGACCGAGGTTTGAGATTTTCCGGTAAAGACCGAACGTTCGTGGGTCAATAAGTTGCTCATTATATGGCTTTTGCTCTGATTTTGCGGGCCCGTAATCGGCCCGTTAGCATTTCGGGAGATAATGCCCAAGAATTAGCTAATCAGAGCGTGCGTTATATCGGCTACAAACACAAGCCATATTGCGGAAATTGAGACGTTTACAGCGAATTCAAAATGTAGTGGCGCTAGGCTCATCACACGATCAATCCAGTTCGAACACATTACCCCCAAACTGCGGAAACTGAATTTGCTCCCAGTTTCCGAGTCGCATTATATTCAAGGTTCGACGAGCCTCTTCGTATTTATCTAAGGCCCCATTTATATGGTCTCGGGTACCCGAAACAACCCTACCCCCGAGGCAAGTCCCTGTAGGCCGAGTCAAAATGGACCCTGCGTGATTATTCATAACCCATTTTGAATAATCAAATGTGCAAATATCTCTCTTTCTTTGAGGTTCCCTCGGTCATTCGATCACAGTGGGTCTTGCCGAGTTAATTTTCACCTCTTTGATACGAATTTCTGCTTTAAATCCAAAATCTAGGCATTACGTGATACTCGCCACGCCGAGAGTTGTCCCCGTAAGCGAAGCCAAAAGCGTTTATATGAAGAAAAGCTGTCCCGCTCGCCAGGGTTACCCCACTTGCCGAGGCGAGACATCTCGCCCACCCGAGTTGTCTCGGCCCCCGAGACGGGTTCGTGATTACTTGACAAGTGTGCTGAGGGATGGCGCAGTTCGATTCCAACCCGGTGCCATATGTGGGTTGAGTTTGTTGTTGGTTCTCGCCTTGCTCCGAGGGTGCCGGGTTATCCGGTTTTCTTTCCTCCACATAAACCAACATTTCCAAATTCCAATTTGACCAGGATAGAGGACCTGCATTAAAACCAACTAAGGGTGACGTGGCTTCCTCTCTTAAGCAATTAGATTATTAGATTATGAACTCGAGTTTTTTATCGCGTGATAGTTGACGAGGGCGCAGCCCAAGTCAACTATCTCGCATAGCAATCGAGAGCNCAAACATGGAAGCCTGATTCGTTCTCATATACGTGTACAGATCTTGTACATGTCTGGCTACTAACATAAAGGTTGCTACCTGTATTTCCAGTTGCATAGAATCTTGGTTGTTGTTGTTGTTGTTTTTGTTTTAAATTTGATCATTCTTTTCGTTATCTCTCAGTGTTGATCCAGCATTGGTCAAGAAAATCACCCATCAGACACTGCAGGCAGTCAACTTCTGTCATCAACATAATGTACGTTACAATCTGGTGATCAAATTATGTTTTGTTTATACATTGAAATAACTACATGTACATTATCATTTACAAGCACAAGTCTATGAAAAAAGACAAACATTTTTAACTTAGAGTGTATGTGTAATATGACTGAGAAAATTACTCCATTCTCAATGGCTGAGAAAAGTCTTAAACTTGCACAGCTGTGCAAATAAATAACACTTGCCTAAAGGCTCATGTAAGAGTTGAGAGAATTTCCAAATATCACTGTGTAGTGTACATGTAAATTCTTCATTGCACTCACATTCATACAATCACCTAAATTGTACACTTATCCAACAATTTCATATCATTTTTAACTGTGCTTGCAGTGTATCCACAGAGATGTGAAACCAGAGAACATCCTGATTACTGAAAAGGGAGTTATAAAGCTGTGTGACTTTGGATTTGCCAGAATGCTTAGTAAGTACTGTACATGCAGTTTGTTATTGGGAGGAATTTTGAATTTCAAAAAATAATGTTCGGGGTTTATATTTGGAAAGGATTTTGTGTCTGAAAAATTTCAGATGCACATTGGAGTGCTACATGTACGTTTTGAAGTCTAATTTAAAGTCTAATTTCTAATTATTACTGTAGTGATGTGAAACACAAACAGGTTTTACTGACATTAATGGGATTCTCTGAGCATGTTAAGAAGTCAACATAAAATATCAGTCATGCTCTCCAACAGGCGGCTTATGATGGAAGAAGCAAATATCTTGCTTCTTTGTGAGAGAGTTAAAACTGGTAAATATTAATAAGCCTCTGGGATTATCCTCAGAAGAGCTTTTATTAAGCGGATTTTTGTGTCTGAGAATCAAGGGGCTTATAACATGGGAGGTAGCATTATCTTTATTTTATAACTTTATGATCAAGATTTGTTTGTTTTATTTGTTGTTTTTTAATGTATCAGGATGCTACTCTCAAGGTCACAAAGTACATGTAATGAGATTATAAAGTACAATTGTTTCTGTGGGGGGAGGGAGGGAGGGAGGTTAACACATACACTGTTGTAGTCTTGAGGGGAGATGGGTGACATTCCCCCTTCACCTACCCCTATAAGTATACATGTATATGCATGTACAGAGAGCAGTGTTACCTTTGTACTGTTGTACATTTTGATATCATATAATTTATATTACTGTTACCTCTGAAATATTTCCTCTCAGATAAAAATGACGAGTACACAGATTATGTTGCTACTCGTTGGTACCGTGCTCCAGAGCTTCTTGTTGGCGACGTCCATTACAGCTTCCCAGTTGATGTCTGGGCTATCGGCTGCGTGTTTGCAGAGCTCATAAGTGGCCAGCCCCTGTGGCCTGGGAGATCTGATCTTGATCAGTTGTATTTGATCAGAAAGACTTTAGGTATTGTTCTCAAACATATGAATAATCCATCAAGTTTAAAAACAAAGGAAGTCAATACTGTGATTTTGTTTGGATGTCTGATCTTAATTAGCATAGATTTTACGATTAATTTCTCTGTTTTTCCCTTGTTTAAATTCGATTGAGAAGATATATCAAACATGAAAGACCACGTTTGACCACATTTCTGAACACCTCAAAGTTCATCAAAAATTTTCCACTGTGTATCTTATTCTCAACCCTTTTCTTGGTGTTTGGAAATGTGATCAAACACAGTCTCTTGCATGTTTCTTATAGTGCTTACATCATAAGTATTTTAGTAACCTCAGTATGTGACAGTAAGGGTCCACTCTTTGATTTATCCTGTCTGGAGTGTTTTGCAGAGTATCTAATGAGCATGTGTTTTTTTCAGGTGATCTCACTGAAGATCAAAAGAAGATCTTCAAGGCAAATCAGTTCTATCGTGGATTAACTATTCCGGAACCTCAGGAAATGGTAAGTCAAGCGCATGTCGAGTCCCTCTTAATACTCTTCCCTAACAACCCTATTGAGTTTCAGGCAGAACAGTTCCTGTAGTAGAAGGGACTACAGATGCACAAGTCGACATCTGGACAAAAAAAAAAAAATCAACTTTTCAACGAGACTTTTTTTTTTGAAAACTGTATCTAAAATGTACAGTGCAGTGGTTTAAATGATGGAGTTCTAGCTGTACTTTGTGATCTATGGACAAAGTCCCATACTTTTCGTGCTACATCCTCGTACGTGTAGTTTATCAACTGATCGAATTCTAGTAGTCTTAAAATTACGTTTTGGTTTTTGCATTTTTCAGGATCCTTTAGAGTCAAAATTCAAGATTCAAAAAGAAGCTATGAGTTTTATGAAGGTGCGTAGAAGGAAAAGGATATGTTTAAATGCCAAGGGACAAACAACGGGCTACAAGGGCCTTGATTGTCACGCAGGACAATTTGACGGGAAGGTTTCTCAACGGCTGTGGGAAAAACTTTTCAAGAACGACATTACAGTTTTATTTTACACTGTACATGATATATGAATTAGTGAGTTATAATTAATCCAGCGATCTAGGATGAAAATGACGACAACAAAAACGTGGGTAAACAAAACTTTTGACTCGTGCAAAGGTTCTGCATGTGCGTTATAATTCTTGGTACATTTCTTAGCCGTCCTGTGGAAAACAACAACGGGAAATGATCAAACTCCGCAAATGTTCCGTGTTTAATGCATTCAGTTTCAGCTTAAAATATTTCTTAGATCAGACGACGAAGTAAACGTAAGTTATATTTTCTTAATCGCGACATAATGCCATGAAACGTAAGTTTACTTCTTAAAAATGGCCGTGATTTCTGTTGTTAAGTTCCTTTGTCTCGCAACCCAGACGCAAAAAAAGAAAATCGTATGTAGTATAACAACGTGATATTCTTGTTAACGTTGCGGTTTCAGTTTCCTTTCACCTCGTCGCCAAATTTATTAGGACTTTCATGAGGTTTAATATTTACACTATTTGCTACATAGTACGGAAGGAATACTTCAATCGTTGTTTAACACTTACCATCATCTGTGCCTCCCCGAATGAAGAATGCTGCAATTCGTTGTTAAATATCGCTGTTTTGTCCTGTTGTTCAATAACAT